GGCCTGCCAGACGGATGGAAGCTTGGCTTCTGAATGGTTTACCAGCGAAGATGATAGCGGCAACACAGCCGTTTGGGCCGCGAAAATGGAAGTGATTCTTACCACTGCATTGGCCTCAGAGGCAACCTTCACCCCTCTTAGCGAACCAACATTAGATTTCGGTCCTCCTCATTATAACCCACCACCTGCGGATACCCCAGAACGCAAATCACGTCGTCTCGGTACAGGTCCCATTGTTGGCATCGCTGTGGGTGCGGTCGCCGCACTGGCACTCGCCGGCGGACTCCTCTTCCTCTGGCGTCGCCGACAAAACCAGCATCACCACGCGCCGATACCGAAGGCTAGCCCGAGTGGAGAGCACGACGCGTTACCTGAGTTTGTGGGAAACCATGGCATGATTTCTCCGCCTACACAGATGGCGAGTTCGAATGGTTTGTTCCATCCACAGCCGGAGGTGAGGTCGCCGAGATTGGAAACAGCGCTCACATCAGGACGTTGATGGGGTTTGATGGCGTGTATCTTTTCTTCGTTTGTTACTATATTGATACCCATACTGTTTAGCAAAGAGCAAGACGTTGTAACCGCTTGGTCGTTCGAGACCGACTGAACCTTCCCCTCTCTCGTATTCGTGATTCTTGGTCAGGCTTTTGTACGATTACGCCTTCCTAAGTCCGTTGACGTGCGCGGGTCGGTCATGCCGAGCGCGGGATCTCACTGCGCATGCGCAGCTCTGTTTGATCATCCCTTGTGCCAATCATTGTCATATACACAACATAAGATTTCCGGCAAGGTTGGTTGCCAAGAATCAATCTCTCACCCGCTTTAACGCATGGGCAGATGTGCGGCGCAGCATACGGCGCGGAACTCAAGCAACATTTGCGAATCTCGTCACACCGTTGACCATCCTCTCATTAGCCGACGGTATCATGCGCCGCATTATAATGTTCCCGGTGCCAGGCGTTGCATATGAATGCACGGGTGCCTTTGGTCCCCATATGTTTATCGTCGTCTGCTCGTAGCCAAAATTATCCTCTCACATCCGCAAGATGGCCGACTCTCCCGTTACATCATCATCATCGTCTTTTGCTAGCGAACAAGCATCATCATCCTCTCCTACCAGCAACATAGACATCACTTCCCGCACATCGTCGTCGCCCGTAACAACACCAGACTCCACAGCCCCGTACGGGTCGCTGATTACGCCCTTCACCGCACCAGCTTACTGTTCCCTTCCCGTTCGAGAGTGTGACGCAGAAGGCAGCAGCAGCTGCGCATCGTGGGAAAGAGACCGGACATGCGGATCTGACGGCAAGCCCACTCTGGCAAGTGAATGTTTTCCGCCAGGAACACACTGGCTCGGCCCCTACCTTTCTTCTCACTCAAACCTCTTGTATTCTCCGGCAAATCAATGTCCAGAAGGATGGGTTGATGTAGCACGGAGGACTTTCAGCACATCTTCTACTTACACTCAAGTCGCATGCTGTCCTTCGTAAGTTCTTCTTGTGTATGCACAGCATGACAGTTTCAGTTGATTGACTCATCGGTACAGCTTTTACCGTACTAACGCAGGGAACACAAACCTGGCAGTGGAACAGGGTTGCTTCAGCCTTCCCGGCACGGACGTTACCACGTTAGAGGAGGTTGTGTGCGTTGAAGGCAAAGCTCCCGTCACTACTACCACGACCCTGTCTGACGAAATATGGCGCAACCTTGTCGACGCCAGGCAAATCCAGTTGATCCTGCCTACACCCGAGTGTTCAACCGCATCGGACGGCTCATCTTCCTGCTCCTTGAATTTCCCTTCGCCTGAGCCAGAGACCACTCCTTCCAACCCCGACTCATCAAGCAAATCGCCATTACCAAAAGGCGCGATTGCCGGTATCGCGGTGGGCTTCGCCATTCTTTTGTTGATGGCCATGTGCGCGCCTGTTTGGCTTCTTCATCGGCGGAAGCAGCGACAACATACTGGCACTAGTACAAAGAAGCGAATACCATTCGATCTATCGTCGTTGCCGGAGCTTGTGGGCATAAAAGGAAATGGGGGTTCGAGTGCGGAGATGAGTCTGGGTCATCCGAATGACGTGGTGCCGCAAGGGGGAGGGATCGCATCGGCGTCTGCACCGGTGGCACGATAGTAATAGTGGTTGTCGGGGTATGTAGATGGTCGTGTCATCTTAGCGGAATCAAGTCGAGAGGTCGCTATGAAGTCTGCTGCACGGTGATGACGGACTTCGGGCCATGCACGTGATCAGCTTGTTGGGGTTAGCGAGATCGTAGCGCGTTTTGGGACTCGAGCCATTACGTCAGCGGACGGTGGCACACGCGTCGCGTCCTCGAACTTCGGCCATCGAGCTGTCAAACCTCGCCCAACAGCTTTCCCCCACGCAGATGCTCGCCATGCTGAATCAACACTCGGGCATCGACGCTACAATGCGAGCCCATAGAACTTAGACACGCCACTGATTAAACGAGGACAGCACTTTCCCCGCCGACATACCGATCGTCAGCGAGACGACCTCGGGAGCTCGATGATTCGATGTCTTCGTCAATATCGTCGCCTTGCTTTACACCGAGACAAACGCTTGGATGGCTCGGCCACGTTGGACTGAGCCTATAAGACTGCACTGCGCTTTCGGCATGGTAGCCTGACAAACGCCTGCTGCCTTCTCCAATTGAGACATGCGGTCACAGAGGAGCGGTCAAGCTGTACCAAATCACCGCACGCTGCTTGCGGGCGCGATGATTTGCTAGTTTTGATGGCAATCACTGGATTCGCTAATCTCGAGTTATAGACTCGAAGGCAGCGATTGCCGACCGCGATTTGCAGCTCTCTCGCTATGAATTCACTCAATCCCATCGGGGTCGGCGTAATGAAGCAGGCACTCATGGCAGATGTTGATCGTTCCCTACGTTACTGCCATCTATTGGCTGCAGCCTATGAGTGTAGCCTCGCCTTTCTCCTGCCGTATATTCACCTTATTGCTCATCGATATATACGAACTCTACCATCCTACCGCCTAGCTCAACACACCGACCACCCGGAAGCTTATCACCACTCTACCTAACGTTCGCTCAACCCCTAGATCGACTACTGAAGCAAGAGTGCAGCACACGATCCTCCTGACTCCCCACCTGCTCCACGTTGTTCAGCCCACTCTCGACTGCAGTATACGAGTCGGACCTGGTGTCTGCCGATATGGATATTTCCAAGTCATGGAGCAAGTGGCAGGGTTTGGCTGCACTAGCTGTTTACTCGGTTACCATCATCGCCCTCGACCGTGTCTACGTAGAAGGCAGTACGTGGAAGTCCGCCGTGGCTTGGTGGAAGAGGTATCTAAAGCGCAGACGGGATGATCCTTGGATGAACGCCAACACGAGCAACGATATCATCTTCAATATGCTGGCCAAGGCGATACCCGAGTCGCCAAACCATGTGTCGGATCAGGGCTATGAGCTTCTTTGCAGCTACAGCTTTAAGTCGTACACCAATACTCCTACTATCTACGTTCCTGGGACTCCGCCGATGTTCACGAAGCCACCTGCCCCGTTGAAACTGGAGCCAGATACAGGACGCTATTATATCGATCAACATGTAGCCAAGGTACCGCGATTCCAGTTCGAGCCACTCTTCCAGGCTCTTACTGTTATGATGCCAAGCAAGCGTTTCGACGACGTCGATGTCCTCGTCGCTCGTGGATCAATGACCGCGCTCATTACATACGTGAAGGATGTATCATGCCAGCCATTCGCACTTACTCTCCACGTTGTTGGCAACACTCTGATCGTGGGGCGACGGCTTCGATCTGGTATGGCTGGCTCTACCAACGGATCGTACGGGCGTAACTTTGAGGCTGCCTGGACGACGCAACTGGAACCAGATCTTCAAGATGCGGAAGGACATCACCATACCATACAGTACGATTTCGGTGGCCTCAACATCGTGGTAAGGGCAGAGACAGACGCATACATGCCCGATGAGCAGCCCTCCCGGAACGAAATCGAGGAAATGTTGGCGAAATCGACATCGCATCCTGAGCCCGAGATTGCGAGCACTACCATCCGACCCGAAAGCTCTGACTCGACCGTTGTGCTACTGGCAGGAAAGTTGATCCCGCACAGCAAGACAATGGAACTGAAGAGCAACAACCAGAGTAAGCCCCTCGATCAGATCTGGGTCGGTAGGACTTCGCGGTGGTCTCTTGGAACAAACAAGGATGGCGTCTTCTCTTCCACCGAGAAGACCTTCACCCCGGAGGACATGAGGAAGAACTACGAGGATGACAGCAAGCGACAAGGAGCCCTTCGTAAGCTTGTGTGGTTGTTGGGAGAGTTAAAGACGACGGTTGAAGACAAGACAAGCAACGGGTCTGCTGTGCTTCTCTGCCTGGGAAAGGGCGAGGAGCTGGTGGTACGCCCAATGAAGACCCACCTGCCTGCGCTTCCTGATGCGATTGTGCAGCGTTTCTGGAGCTTGTCCGATCAGGACGAGATGCATGTGTAGGTATATTCAAGGTATTCATCAATTCTGATGACTGGTATTCCAGGCTGCCCAATTCTTTCATTGCTTCTCAAAGCTATCACAATCATATTGCCTATCGAAGTATGTTCTTAATGGCTAGCCCAAACCAAGACGATGCCCCAGTCCGAGTCAAAATCGTAGCCTGTTCCCATTCATTGCTGCTCTGCTACTAGGCAGCCGATTGATTCACTTGCTAGAATTCCGTGGTCCGGTCTACTAGCGCTACGCTCTCTCCTCCGCCCCCAGATTTGTCGCGTTGAGGAGCTGCACGCCCTCTTACGTGAAATACCCCGAAGAGATGGAGATTTCACTAGGATTCGACAAGCAAATATGAAAATCTGACGTCAAAGTCGGTTCTAGGGTGCTCGCTTATCTCCTGGAGTGAGGGAGTATTGGCAAACAAAACAAGCCTCTTCTACACGCCCAATCTTTTAATGGTATCAAGCCTCTTCGTCTCTCGTCTCCCGTCTCGATCACGGTCATGAGCAGTCCCACCACCGGCCGCCAGCGTGGCACTGCCTCCAAAGCGCCCCGGAAAACACCTAACAACAACCCCGACGTTAACCGCAGGGAGAACCAGCAACGTGCGCGTGCGCCTAGCGGCGCTACCCCACGAGTGCACACCCGAAAGCGCTCGAGATCTGGACCGACTTCCGCCCTCGCCGACGAAGACGACGATGACGACTTCGATTCAGAGCACGACGTCAAAGTCAAGAAAGGCCGCACTACCTTCGACGAAAACGGGTACTTCAAAGAAGGCAACAAGAGCATGCGTTACTTTGGACCTGGGTTCACGGACCTATACTCGCCGTCCGTATCGCATCAACTCATCCATACCGGATTGTACAACCAGATGCCGCCCCGCGATGTACTTCAGAGGCCTTTCCATCCACTGCACAGTATTGTGACCCCCTCACAATTCGATCTATCCGTCTTCACTATCCCGCTGACCGCGTTGGAGATTCTTACGGTATGAAACTCGTAACAGTCTCTCGAGATACTGCTAACTCGTTTCAAGTTCTTTCCCTTACATGCGCAGATTCCCGAAGTACAAGCCCGTTTCGCACAGAGCGGAATCAACCCAAGATTCCAGGCTTGGATCATCGTGAGTCTTCTTCCATGGCTACCCGAACGCGCGTATTGTACCGAGCTGACATTTCATCACGAAGAATCGTCAGCACCTTCTCCAGGGTCTGGACTGTCTCTTCGGTATGGACGCACGCACCTGGGTAAAGGACTGGAAGAAGAAGAAGGGGGTGACAAAGCCTGTCAAAGGAGCTGCGCCGCCTGCACCGCAGCCTATCATTCACACGACCAGTCACTACACGTTCACACCCGGTGTCAACCGACACATAGGCTTCGACATCACCAAGACACCATACGCGCTTATCGATTGCGCCGAGGGTGTTCATCCTTGCAATTTCCCCCAGGGTCTTGACCGCGGTCCCTTTACCGAAGCCCTCATTCAAGCTCAGCTCATGATTTACTCGAAGCTTATGCTGGCTGATCTAGATGCGTTCATTGCGTATTGGCTTATCGATCGAAATCTTCAGGCCGGCTACAGCGATGCGGGGTTCCTGAAGAGGCATGTGGCGTTGCATGAGGAATATCGGGCTATGGTGAGGAAGGATGTAGAGAGTCATGGCTATAGGTGGGAGGACTGAGGTTCGAGCGGCGTGTTGTGGTGAAGTTCAAGTGTGAGGATGAATACGGGCGGATATATGGAAAAGAGGCATGTGGATGTCTAGACTGCCTATCGTAGCTTGGAAGCGAGGCTATTCCAGCGATACAGTCATAGGCCTGCCAATGTATAAGAGTAATGTGCGAATTGTTTTAGTTAACGTGAACGAAGGCGGTGCATGATACTGTCGGAGATCAACATTACAATAAACACTCGTTTGTATCATCACCTAAACTTTTCGCGCTGTACTTAACGTAATAACCTTTGCCATCTGAGCGAATGTCACATGTGTGAACCGCTCGACTATGTTAGAAATTACCCGTCCCATAGACTAATGTCGCAGCAACACGCACAAAATCATATACTAAATTATTTGAACAACTGCGGGATCTATTATTCAATTGCTTCGTTGTCTTCCAATGTGTCTTGTTCCAATGCAACGCTCATGATACCCGACCAGATTCTCCTATAGCATGACTTTCACTGGTTTGGTCGTCTCTTCTCATGTACTTCAATGATCTGCGCGACAGAGGCACTGAAGTATAGCATCAATCCACCTGACTTTTTCGTGACACTAATCAGTCTTGATTAGGTCACAAGGAAAAGTGTACACAATGTGCGTGTAAGAAAGTAGGATAATGAAGCTTTCGTGAAGACAAAAAGGGGTACCCAATACACTGCCTCTGTCCCGGACCAGAATTTACTCAACACACAAATGAGTCTAGAGTTTTCGCCACCACATACGAAGTCTGTATTTGCGGTCTTTCTTGTCGACCCTTATATCATGTGTAGATATATAAATCCATCAATCCTTTGACTCAATCCTTCTCTTGTCGTAACTGATCTTGTGTGACGCACTCTGCGAATTGGAGAGGACTGACAAGTATTCTGAAGATATCGACTGGCCAATTGATCAACCGATGCTAAGTACGCAATCTCTCCCTTGTATGGCTTACATTAATATTATCGCTAGGATGTGACGTGACTGATCAGGAAGTGAGGAGCAGTGTTGAAGCATTTTTCCGGCCGATCCTTGAGACGAGAGGAAGCTTCTCAATTGGAGCAACATTGTGACCGGGTGGCTTCACACGCAAGACGTGAAGCAATGTTACAGTTTTGGGCCTAGTTCGCATCCCACCGCATTTTGTTTTCAACAACAAACTTTTCCGACAGCCCTTCTGCCGTTGCTCAAAGATGACGCACCAGGACCCTTGGTCAAGACGCATCGCCGAGGTTCTCGCAGAAGTCGATGAATACCCAAGACCGTGTTCCTCATATGGTTGCGTCGTGTCGTGAGACCGCAATGGCGAGATGGCGGCCTCTTGAGGGGGTTATCGCAGTATCGAAAGTTGGGCGATGGCTTTGAGACCTCTGTGAGACAGATCTCGGCTCTATCCATAGCACACATCCGTTAAGTGTTATGAGAGGGAATAGCGGTAGCTGGAATGACGGGTATGTCTACAGCTCAGCTTCACTGATCATTGAGCCTGGTCTTGGCTTCCCATCGCGACTTTCGCTTTGTCCTTCTTTTGCCGGATGCGATAATCTGCCATCGTCTTGCGATACCGTTTCAAGACTGGATTGTGGCGACGAAATGCTTCCTTGTCTGGGTTCTCCATCCCAGGTCCAAAAGAAGGGTTTGTTGTCTGAAAGTAACCCTCCGAATCTTCGATGAATTGGACATCGCTGAGCAAGAGGTCACCCCACTCCTCTGGGTTGTCGACGACATACTCAATCAATTGAGTCAGAAAGCCCCTGTCTGAACCGGACGGAAAGTCATCACGGTCGACGCCGTTCGCAAGATCGCGGACGTAGTAGTCGACTAGTCTGTATTCGTTGCCAGGCGGTGTCCAATTCTCGCAAGAGAAAGATGTAACTGGAGGAGCCGCGATCGCAGGCAGATGCTGTTGTTCCTGACCACGAGAGCCAGACAGCTCTTGGATCTCACGACCATGTTTATTCGTCTGCTGACTGATTGTCGATGGGCCGATACCTTCGACGGCGTCGGTGTTGTAAGCTCGGTTCTTGGTCAAATTAGCCCACGAGAGATACGGTTCGGCAAGGAAGAATGAACTCACAATCAAGTCAGCGATATTGTTTTGCGTCCAGCCGCTTCGAGCAAATCGCTGTGTCCAGTCCGGCCAGAGTGAGCCATGCGCGGGAAACCACTATACGATACATCAGCTGCGGGGTCGTTGTTTGAGCTCCCAACATATACTCACGATCGCCATCTCCACTATAGTTATCGGTGTCGAGCCCAAGTACCGGATATCAACCTGCTTTGGGGCGCCCATACTGTATACCGGGTGCGGTTTACCATCAACACGGTAGTCTTTCATGTCGATGTTCATCTCCGTGGCGATACGTACGAGACCCTCGGGTGGTATGGTTCCTTGGCCGCCTTGCTTGAACGTAGCTTCGGTTATTGGATCAAGCGGGACTGTGACATGGAAGCCGCCGCCAAGATCGAGAAGGTAGGTGCCTTTCGGTAACGAATCCGGAGAGAATTCTAGGATAGCTTGATTGCAGCAGTCTCGGCTCAGCCGTGCGTCTTCTTCGAATGCTGAGCTATAGTCTTCAGAACCAAGAAGCGTATGTCGATGTACGATGACTTGCCCAGGATATCGGCGTCTCGCGTCGACAAGGTCGGCGAATGTGAAGTCAAAGCCTGAGACGCCGGGGCCGATCGGACTGGTTCTACCTCCAAGGAAGCCCAATGCTCGAGCAAGATTTTTGCCTCCTTGACACTCGCTTGGCGTTCGAAGACATATCGCTGCGGAGATCTCGCCGTCGGCTTCAATATGCGGTGTCGGTAAGTCATTGCGACTGTCTTCCTCGGCGTATAAGCTTGCTGCTGCCAGGTCCAGCGAGTCACTTCGTGGTCCGAGGGAGCTCGACAGTGGCATGGCGAGTTGCGTTGATATACCGCTGTGCAATGGGCTAGCAGGCTGTAACCGATAGGCGTTCCCTGTTTCAAAGTCATAATTGGCGATGGCCTTGACGTTTATACTGGTTGTATGTTGGTAAGGCTTGGTCACTCCGTTAGCCTTACTGGGCGCTCTCATCGTAGTCTTCTTGGGTTCTCTTTTGGACGCGATACGGACCTGAGGTATAGAAGATATGCTCATAGATGGAGCATCATATGTCGAATATCGCGTCGTGGGGTACATGTTGCCTGTAGGCATTGGAAGGGGCTCATGAGGGGCGAAATCGTACGCGGAAAGGTCACCAGCCAGCGAAGTAGTCTCTGGATCGCGCATAGACTGCGACAGGAACGACGACGCTGGCTGTTCATCTTCCAGTACATGGTACATAGCGCCAGGGAACTGTTGATGGTCATGCGCGGACTGGCGCGCTTCATCTACGCCGAGGGTAGCGCCGAAGACGAATTCGTCTGCGCCGGTGGACCACATCGCACCGATAGGGTGGGACTGCGGTATACGCGAGGGCTTGTCGCTCTCAGAGGCTCGCTCCGTGGACGAATGGCTTTCGTGTCGCGCCCAATTACTGGGGAATTGCTGCGGCGGCATTGATGGCTTCCTCGGAGGAGATGGCCGTGAGCCTAGCGGAGTAACTTGCGGTGCGCTGATTGTTGCGGCAACGACTTTGAAGTTAGTCGATCGGTTTTGGGAGTATAGTATCTGTAGCAAGGCGGGCAAGTCAGTGGACGATGGACTCAGCGCGTCATGCGAGTCTTACCAGATGTCTTTGTCAAGGATTGCACTGGATGGGTATACTAGCGAGCTTGGGGAGATATGGCTGCTGTGTGTATGTCGAGTCAAGAAGGGCGCGAAGCAGCAATTGGATGTTGAGGTGGGCGAAAGAAAGGGTCGACGAGGGTACAACGTCCGCGTTCGGCTGTTGCGGCCAAGGGGCTGCGCTAGCCTTTATGATGCCTTCACAGCCACCATCTGCTCTCAAATATCCGGTCTTTTACAGAAGATTGTAATAGATCAGAAGATCTAAAAAGACTTGTCGCGATGCTAGAAGATACTCAAAAGACAATAATGCGAGCGGTAGAAGTGGCCTTGACGGGTAGACTCTAAACACCGCAGCTTTGTCGCCACAGATTACAAGGCGTCGAGCACGGGATGCGCTATGGTAAACCAGCTTTGATATCATCTTAATTTACTCGATCGTGCTCGATTCCCAATAAACCGGGTTTGCTACCAAACTTCAAAGGACAATTTTCGGGTCAGATACACTTTGTCTGATTGATTCCATGTGGTGTGTGCTACAAAAAGCAGTTCTCAACGTATCCAGCTACAAACAGTGCGCGGCGCTCACCGACCCGGTGAATTCCATCCTGACGTGGCACAGTAACGACAACTACGTTTCTTTCGCCATTATCCGACTAGAGACCTCCTTCACAGTGTTCTTCTCTCGAGGCGGTGAAATACTCGATCTACTTGGGTAGGGGACGAGAGTCGATCAAAGAGATCATGTTCACTCCGAGAATTATCTCCTACAAATTCTAATTAGATGGGAGGTGGACATGCATCAATACAGACTATTGCCAGTGACCTAAGGCCAAATAACAGTAAGAGAGGGCTGGACGGCCAACATACCAGATGACATGGATACATCCACCACCGAAGTGACCCCAGCCTTGTACTCTGGTACAGGTCTTCGAAGCACTTCCTCAGTCTTTGCAGATATGGCCATACCAGGCGCATGAAATGCCATATCTGGAAGGGGTATGGTCCCCAGAAAGCATGCGTGGCTGAGTCTGAGCAGATTCGTACCTGGCACCGGTGCGCCCTTCAAATCGGGGAGAACTTGAGGCTGTGCGCTGTAGAGCGGATCTGGAGAGAGAAAGGTTTGGGCTGAATCCTGCGGAAGAGTGAGCCCCGTAGGTGCAATGTTATTCCGAGGCTTCTGAAGACGAGAAGATGACTTAGATGCAAACTGTCCGCAGCTCCTCTCGTCGAAGCCCAGCTGCGGACGTCTACGGAATTGTTGATTAATGCTATTAAAGCCGACGTCCGTCATGTCTCCTGGAAGCGACTGCGGGTATGGGAAGGGCGGTGTAGCGTTTTCGAATTCGTCTATCCTGTGCGGATAAGCTATCCTATAGTCAAAGTCGTATGCTGGAAAGGCTAGTGCGTGTATTAGCGATGCATTACAACTTTCTTTTGACTGAATTGGCCCACCGGTGTTGGTGCTGGAGCTGATCGTCGCCTGGTTGGTCGTCGCGCGCGGGAATTGAGCGTTGCACTTCGAAGTGCACTGTGAACGGTTGACGATCGCCGGCTTGCTGGACGCCGTATTCCAGCTCTCGAGGCCGAAGTTCTCCCTCCCAGCTCCCAGAGAGTTCGTGTCATCGAAGTAGGTATCGTACTCTCCTGGGCCTGTGAATGGTCCTTGTACATCCAGGTATGTGGTGCTTTCGCTCAGGTGGCGCATATACTGCCCTGGAGGGGCAACTGCGTTCACATAGTAGTCCTCCGACATTGTTGTGCTAGGTATACCGAGCATTGTGCGCTGGAAGAGGTCTAGAGACCCGTCATAGGTGTCTCTGCGAGGCGCTGTGGATCTCAAGTTAGGGCTATGATGAGCTTTACCAACATTGTGCAGGCGCTGCGTATATTGACGCAATACATGACCTTCAGACAAGGGGTGTCAACTTACGCATCGCTCTTCCGTCGTATAGGTTCTGGCAAAAGTCTGTAAAGTTGGAGAGGAGGCAGAGTTCGAGCCAGATTCTTGCCTCGGGTATCACACAGGCCAGAAAGGGCGCTGGAAGAAACACACTAGTACGAGAACCAATCTGAAAAGGCTGCGTAGTGAAGCTCCGCATCCAACGAGGTTAGTCTTAGTTCCATTTTGACATCGTCAATGCTTACTGGAATGGGTATCAATGTGCATATTGTCAGTAAGAGAGACACTGATAAAATAGGCCTTTAGTGGGAAGACATAGAACATGTAACATTGCGCTAAGAACACAGCGTAAGCTGTAGGCACAGCTCTGAATATCTAACACGACCTTTCGCCAGCTATGACCATCCATCAGCCAGGCATAGAAGGACCTGTTGGCTGGCTATGTACATCTTCCTGGAGCGTCTTTGCGGTCATGACTTCTTTAGTCTTGGTGAAAATACCGTCCCGCTGCCCACCACTTTCGGACGACATCGTAGGTTGGATCATGAACCCGAGTCGCATCGTAAGTCTGCTGCGGAAAGATTCGCTCCAGCGCCTCCCAATCAGTCTGATAGAGACCAAGGGGACTAGGCTGTGGAAGAGGACCATATAGTTTAACCATTTCCTCTTGTACTTGTTCGACGTAACGCTCAAGTTGAGATAGTCGTACGTTATTATGGCCGTGACGACGAGCGTGCCAGACAGCAAGGGTCAGCACCCCCTGATCAGCTCCTCCAGGCCAGTATACTAGTCCGTCGCCCAGGCTGACAAGGAAGCAGTCGCGAAGATCGCAGAACTCGGTAGTTGAGTTCACACGATCGGTATTGATCGCAGAGAGCGTAAGACCGGCGGCGGCGCAAGGGTGATCACGAGCATCTCGTCGATGCTTCTTCATACTGCCGGCGGAGTGGGCCCGTAAATCGCCTACACTAAGCTGGCGGGAGTAGAACTTTGAGATTCGTTAGCAAGGGTCTTGAAGACAGAGGCAGTTAGTACTGACGATCAGCTCACGCAGCTTATGAAGATTCCATCCGCTCGCTTCGAAGCGCTTCCAGATAGCCCTCCAACATGAGGCTGCTCGAGGAAAGAACTGCATCCTTCGTCAGTTCATTTTGCGCGCATGGGGGAGGGATTGAGTAGCCTACCGCAGCAATCTCCACAAGAGTCACCTCGATGTTGGGTCCAATCAGTCGGACGTCAACATGGTCCCACAGCGCTACGCTGTTGAAGGAACAGTATGAGGATTCTAAAGCCTTCTCAGGTAGAACCATACGTGGGGTGATGCAAAGCCAGGCAAGTTTACGAGACTCTGGCCACTCGTACCGATGGATACCAGCGGAACCACTGGAACGAACGCCGGATGTTCTAGGTCCTTGCGGTACAACGATCTGGTCCTGGCGTTTAAGTAGAATAGGTGGTGGTGGTGGTTGGTAAGCTTGGAGAGCCTGAGCCGGCTGTTGGGCTTCGAGGTATCGTAGATACCCCGAGAGGCTGTGATACATAGCTTGGTTTACGAGTTCGAGGGTGTTGAGGGCTTCAAATGCTAATCGCACGTCCCGCGGAACACGCACGGTGTATCCGGGCGCGTACCTCAAGAGTTCGACACACTCAGCAACGATGATACCCCTTCCGTTGGCGGAGTCGCGAACCCAGTACTGTAGACCACTCTGTGTGGGAGCCATGGCCCTGATCTGCTCCAGTCGCTCGCTCAAGTCGCAAAAGTCCTTGATGATCAGCTGGACCATGGGTGTATTGAACGCTGCCTCAGCGCGCAGTTCGTTGCGAGTCAGTTCGTCTGACGCTTGATAGTCTTGGACTTGAGCAGGGTTATCATAACCGCCGTAATTGACGATGTGATTCAGCGTGTAGCCCGAGCCACCTGAAGGAGACGCCGCACTATTCGCGAGATCTGTGACGGCCGTATTTAGTACATTGACACCCAAGCAAGCTGAATGGGGATTCGACTGAGGCAACTTACCGTTACTCTGATTCATGATTTCGCTTGCTCTTGTTTGGGCGATGCTGAAGCTGTGGTAATGTCAAGAGGGTCTGTCGGTCATATGGTTTTAGTATATAACCCCACCCACACGTGAATAGATACAGCACGTGCACACGCGCTTGGATCCAGCGTTTGTCATTAGCTAGGGCCAGGAGAGTCATTGTATTACTATACGAGATTACGCAGGCAACAAAGTAAAATGCACCATGAGCTTTACTTGATGTGTCGAATATCGCCGTCTAATCATCACTCTCCGCGTCACAGTCTGCCAAAACAGTTCCTGTGTAGCACTTCCATAGCTCTGTGTCCAAAGGGAAGGTCAGGAGGGAGGGAAATAAAGCATCCGCGTCCTGTCTGTTATGCGAATGAAGCGTTCCTGAACACTGATGTGGGACACCACAGCAAATGTTGAACAGAAAAGCCATCTCCTGTTCGTGTAACTGAGTCGCCACGAAACCGCGTCCCCGATGTCTGGTATGGTTTCCTAGATACCACCAGAACTTTTACCATACTTGCTCACAAAATGGTTGTGGATCATAGCAAGGAAGGCCGGCGAAGGCGTGTCTTCCAATACCACGTTTGTGTCCGGCTGAATCAGATCCGCAGCGGGAACGAATATGCCGTGCTTCGCTGCATATTGGACGATCTCCGACATCTTGGCATCCATGTCATGGGATACATTACGCACATGCCAAACGCAGTGCGTCATGAGCTGTGCGTTGCGACCAGCGGGGTAATGCACTACTCCGTCCCCCAGATGGTAAAGGAAGTAGTCGTGAAGAGGCCAGGTGCGGGCATCTTTGTCCAGTTTCCCTCTCGGTGACATGTTGGAAGGTACGTTCGTGGTGAAAGTATGCTCTGGTATGTCTTCCGGTCGGTTATCGTGATAGTGGTGGAAGGTCGTCCGGTGGAAGCTCTTACCTGAGCGTAGCTGACGAACATAGGCCTGGTTAAGTAAGCATAAGCTTGTGTATGAGATTTATGGAAAGAGATCCAACAACTCACTATGAAGTCAGCGATCGCCTTTGGGGCCCAGGACTTCCGAATGCGGTCCCATAGCTCGTAGTTCACGGTCTGAAATGGAAGAAACTGATCAAGTATTAGTGAGCGCTCTTCAGATCGGAGCAGTAGACTTACAGTGAGTATTTCCTGCGCAGTCGTGACACAGTTGATCAGAGTAGGATCAACCGTTTTTGGTGGAGCCACACCCCTCAGCTCATGACGATGGTGGGAGTTGGCCGCGGGTGGAAGGCTTGCCAATGGTCTACCTTGGATCTCGACAAAGGCACGGATCTGACCACGGGACATTGCAATGCCTGCACATCCCTGACCGGCAATATCTTGTGTGTTCCTGGAGGGGTTGCTAGCCATGTAAGCAGCAATGGGGTCCGCTAAGCCAGGCTGGGGGGCTACGCCTGTTGGAGGGATAGCTACCGGGATCGCGGGCTGACTTGGAGGTGCTACTACCACTGCTGGTGCGACTGCCATCGCGTTGAGCACCGGCTCTGGCGCAGACGTTATCGGATCATGTGTGGGGATAGCGGCTTGAGCGCTTAGAGCTGGCATGAACATGTCTAAGATGCGGTCCAACTCCTGCGACGAGCAAGCTGAAAGTAGAGTCTCAGAGGGCAGTGACAAGTGATCCTGAGACTGTGATTCATCTGCCAGTGGGGGAATCTCGTGGTGGGGTCGCTTACCCGAGTACTCAGGCACTTGTCCTTCTGCATTGTTGACTGCATTAGCTGTGTGAAGTACCTGAACCCCGTTCTCGGTTTCGGAAGCTTTTCGCTTTCTCGGTCGACCCAAGATATAATCGTTGATCTTTACTCCACTTGACATTGCTTTGACTTGCTCATGATATACTTCTTGAACATCAGCTGGTGCCATCTGCAGATAGCAGTCAGGCGTTGTAAGGAAGATATCAATCCATGCGTCGTGAAGGCGATCCTTGGATATCATGTATAGTATCAGGTCGTCATCGTCCTGGTTCTGTCCAAGCTGCGTCAACAAGTCTCTGGAGAACTCAATGACTGCCCTGACTCGCCGGCGATGATATTCGTTGCTCTGCAAAAGCCGGTCCTGCAGCAGATTTCGACGCGTGTAGTGTGCGGGTGTGTACGTCACGGCGGGATTGTTCCAAGGAAGGTGTGCAAGAGAAGGTGGTTGTTCTCGCTGGGCGCTACGGTCGACCTCGTTCGCCGACTGCGACGTGACGCCGCGCGGGGCCGACATGGACGCTACAGGTCGATTTCCATATGGGTGAGCCATCATGGCATTGCCTGGGGGGCCTGGAATGCGTGTCAGTAGGAACAAAAATCGCGATTTGGAAGCTCACTTCGGGCTCCGTTACTCGTCGTAAAACTGTCCGGTGCATCCATGTTACACAAAACTTCGTAAGAAGATGAGAGATGTTTGAGCCGAGGCTGAAAGCGCTATGCAAAAGATAAATGAGTAGAGAGCTTTGTCAACCGGGTTGAGTTGTTCGAGAGTTCGGCGTTCGCATGAGCCCATAGGCCATCTGCTCTTGGTGGGGGGGAGAGGTCGTCCGCGCAACGCCAGAACGCTCTAATCCATTTCGGGAAGTAACTGTGAGTCGCATGCTCGAGCACAAATGACAGGTGGCGAAAATACAGAAACTTGAATGGACACATGACCGTGTCATGGAGCCTACACGAAGGCTTTGTGCTTGCCGGCATAGTGAGGATATACGCGATAGTAAAGAATGTGCGGAGAAAGAAATGGCTTCAAAGTTGCAGTCGGTACGTGATGAATGAACGCAAGCTTGAGACGAGGGTAAGACTTGATATGGGTATTAATCATGGTATCACAGATTCTTGCTCATACTACCATGAGCCGTCGCAAACCTTGATTCCTGATTACCTACTAAGCTTTGATCGCTTGAGCATCGCAGCATAGATCACAACGAGCAATGAGTTCCATAGTCTGATGAAAATTGTTGCGAGTGATGGTGGTCGCATGATGGATGAGCGAAGATGAGGTGGTTGCAGCTGTTCGGCCATTTGAGGCTCCTCCCACACTAAACTGATTATGGACAGGGGCATGCTTGGCGGCAAACTTCGCAACCTGGGGATCGGCCGCCCCGCTTCCAACGCCGACAACCTTTTACTGAACGCCCGAAGGCACAACCAACAAAAGACGCCTCCACTAGTACCTGGGTATCGAAACCTGTTTGCGCGGCTCTTGCGCCAACGACTCCCCGCTCGTCTGTCTCATCAGCGACTCCAAACTACGGATGGTCGCCGAATTTGTTCCAGTAGTCGGCCTTCATCGCCAAAAGCCTCGCGGGCGACGGCAACTGGTCCTCCACAGCTAGGTTTGTGACGTTCATCTGCTCATTAACCGGTACTGTGATGTTGTACTGCCTTGCGTACGCAGCAGCTTGACTGAGACGAACGTGGCGATCCCCGGTGACCCTTCGAACGTGCTCGATGACACGCGTCAACAATTGCGCTTGACGTCCAGCAGGTGGATGAGCCACACCATCACCCATGTTGTAAAGGAAGAAGTCGTGCAGTATCCTGTTCTCGCCTTTCAAGAGGCTGTCTCTGCTGACGTTGCGAAGGGAGGCCGTGGGAACGAAGTCTGGATGCTCCTCTTGCCACTCTTCAGCGGCTTTGAAATGATACGAGATCTTCGAACGACTACAGATTCCCGGTGTCTGAAGATCGTGCGCGTAGTTCTGGTAAAAATGGCATTAGCTTAGTCTTCTGTCAAGATCCAAGATTTGAAGCCACACTTACAATGTAGCGGGATATGTCCATGGGTCTCCAATGCCGCTTTGCCCGGACACACGTCTCGCGAGTGGACGTGCAGCTGTTTGGAAAGTACTGCCACGTTGTTAGTGATTTGGTAATGTGCTTGAATCACACGGATGTTGCACTTGCCGTAAACATCTCCTCGATCGACGTCTCAAAAGGGCAGCAGCGCATGTCAACGGATGCAGGTGTCCGGAAGTTGGTCATCTCAGTGCCATGTACTGAAAATGCAAGAGAAGGTAGTCGTTGGATGCTTTTACCCTCGATTTCCACAAATGCTCGGATGCGCTCAGCACTCCAGGCGGTGTTATTGTTACCCGGTGGAAGCTCACTTCCTGGTCGGAAGCCCGCAGTGGTAATACCCTTTGCTTGAAGCAGCTGATGGAAAACTGGCGGAGCCGCCGGGTTTTGCTCGAAAGCAGCTACACCGCTGCGTATAGACCGCAAAGGAAACACAGGCACTTGGGCGACAGAGTGGTGACCTTGATGAGGGCCTGGAACTAGAGCCGGTGCTGGCTGCATGTTTCCCTGAGACGCCTGTTGTGCGGACTGGGCCGGTGCTAACAGTGGGCGTGCTTGAGGTACATGCTGTGTAGGATGAGCGGACGACAAGCGCTGGGGGGCGACAACGGCCGGGAACGGGGATGACTGGACGGACAAGCCTACCGGAGCCGCAGACGACTGGCGGAGCGCATGAGGACTGGTCTCTGATAGTTGTCCCAGGAGCAGACCTCTCCTCAGCCCGGTTGTGTCTGTAATGTTACGGCGCGCCAAGTTAGGCTGACCATATCCATCTTTGAGCGTAGTCCCGTTTGAAGGGTCTCTGGCGACGTCGGGGTATGGGGTCTTTTCGGCAACTCGCGGGGTCTGTGAGTGGGTCAAGTGCTGAGAATGCGAGCAACGGGGAGCAAGTTGCTCAGATAACTCTCCTGGCAGAAAACAATCATAATTGGTGGACAGACTTGTCTCATCCTGCATGGTCCTCGCGAAGCTCGGCCAAACTCCAAAGTTGTCGACCAGGTCTTCCTCGTAGGCCGACCTTACTCCAGGCGGCGCCAAATCGAGCCATCCCTCGGCGAAAGTGAAGAAGGTTATCCATTCCTCCGCTAGGCATCCGCATGGCAGCCAGTAACGGTGGCCGGCAGCCAATTCGACAGCTGTGGGTGTCGAAGAAACATGACTGGAGCTGTACTTCCAGATACTTGCTAAGAGCGGTGCGATGCTCTGGTGCTTCATGCAAGAGTCGTCGGCTTCGATCATGGCTCTTGTGAGTATCGGCTTCATCCTCGAGGTGGGAGTCTCGGCGATGAAGTCAGTCAAGGCGTTCGGGTGGAAAGCCATCGGATCACACTATAGTTGATCCAGCTGTGGAACAGGGGCTATGTCTGCCGTGACTGTTAGTCTTTGAGTTTCTGTTCTCGCGAATCGTAGCGCATACAATTCCTGTTGTATCAAGATCCGTCTCTGGGCAGTTCGCCGTTCGTTCGAGCGGTGTCAGTCGCAATGACACTGCGCTACACTCGTAGAATGGGTGCGATTCTCATGCAGGGATTTGTACGCGGCTATAGAGATCTTGAAACGAACCAAGGGGCGCGTAGCGGGGTCTGGTTCAGATGTTGTGAGTTGCAAAGTAAAAGACATGGCTGGACGCTCAGTCGAGGTCTGTGCCCCCAAACTACCCCTCCTTGTAGTGAAATGTATACGTACAGGCGGTATACAGCTCAACAAGAGGTCGCCTAAGAGAAGACGGCGCTTTATTGAGGCACATCGTAGCCAAACACTGCTTGGCACCTCCTCCGAAACCGGTAGGTAGGTCCACTGAGCCAATGCGTCGTCACTATGCCCAGCCTTTCAGACCTGTCCAAGCACGAGACGAATGTTCGTTTAGCAGATGTCTTTTCTTGGCTAAGTCATGCTGTGCCCTAGTGGAAGTTCGTCGCAGATGCGGTCAAAATCCTGTGACTGATGGAACTCGGATATCCATGCTCTCAATACATCATTCTCTCCGTTTAAGAGAGTACGTGTATATAGAATGAGACTTCTGACCAGCCATATTTCCTGGTGTCTTCGGGGTTCATTTCGACTGAGCTCGTTATCTCATACCCTCCAGTGTCACAGGCCGTGTGCTCACTTGACCAGCAATCTCTAAGCATCTAAAACTTCGCATACGTAAATTCATCCCCCGCACCTACGTGATCGCCTATTGGTCGCTTGCGTTTCATGTAACAGGGTATCCTTTCCAGGCTCGCCGAGAGCGCGCTAGGCAATTGTTTGATCTCGAGGCTGCTTCGGAGCACAGACAGCGTCACCGGGTCATGCTTCGATTTACAAAGCCGCCGAACGTTAGTCTCTTGTATGCTCATATCTCCTTACCACCCAAGAGACTGCACAGACAAGTCAATCGTGACAGTTTATACGTCGTCAGCAGCGTTCGCGACAAACTCGCCTTTTCTAATTCGGCAACCAAAATGCAAAACGACTTGACTACCTCCAACGGCAACTCAAGGCCTATCGTCAACATGGAGCAAGCGCCGACTCGCAACACAGCAAGTTCCCCCGGTATGATACAAAGGCCCCATGCTCGTCTGCCCTACATTTCTAACAATGTCAAGAAGTAACGGGCCTCAACACCGAGTACTCGACACAGGCTTTAGACCGCAACGTCCTCGCCGCGCGTGGCATAGGTGCGCCTACTCCACCTGCATCAACATCGCCACTGTCCCACGCCACCTGTCCGGCCGCAACAAAAGAGCTCCAGCGTGCCCCTCTCATCGACGAATGTATCAAACGCCTGCAAGACGAGAAGAGGGATAGTGTGAAGGCTTCTCCGAGCTTCAACACGACAGAGATCCGGGGTCTGGCCAACAACAAAATCGGATTTGTCTCCGCGATGCGGCTCTCCACGGTCCAGACACTCCTCGCCCGCTATGTGTCCATGAACGATCTCGCAGCCCTTGCCAACGCATGCTCGGCCATTGGAGGTTCCCTGAACCTGGGAGATGAACATAGCAGGAAGATGTTTGAGGGTTTGACCAAGAACAATTGGAAGGCTCTTGAGAGCTTGCGTGGACCGCGCACCAAGCGGAAGCTCGATGGTGGTGAGACTGTGTATGCACCATCATTGCGCCCTCAGTTGCGAGAACGGAAGAAGCTCAGAGCTTTCGCCTCGGTTTTCATACATGACTAGGGACTTGCGCGTCGTTTCTTGTTTAGCAACAACTTGATCCAGGGGGCGTAACGCGGAAGCGTAAAAGTTCATAGCGATTTCATGTATAGTTGGGCCTTCGGAAAAGTTTTTTATGCTATCACTCCTTACGCGAGCTGCCGAGATGTCAAAGCCGACCCTCGGTGAACAGGAAACGTGGTGATAGGGACGTGTGCCGTACTGAAGGTTGCCAGGTCGTGCTACAAACTTCGCGACTCGCTTATCTTTCCCAGTATGCAGACCACCCGCAACGGCCTCTACACAACGTCACTGTCCCTATAGCTGCTAATGGAACAATGATTATTCGAAATTAAAATGTACTTCCTTTGTCCACTAAGAGCTCGTTGTGATCAAAGCAGAAACTCAGGCATCTTCTCAAATTGATGAACATGATTTGCTAGACGGGACGCTTGTGAGCACTTTACACCCAAATGGCGATTTAGGTCATCGTAAGGCCATAAGGGCCAGAACATTGATGAGCGGACGACTTGAGCGCCTTATACACATGCATACTTCGCAAACAGAGGAGCCGCAAGATCGCGTATCCTCGTGCTTCACGTAGCGTCAAGTACGCATGAAATCCCGGACGTTAGTTTCGGAGACAGAGAGGGCATTTCGTCATATGTCATATGCTATAATCGTCTCCAGTGGTAAGCATTTAGCAGCAGCAACATTGTGATTCACTGTCGAGAAGATTAGCAGTGGTCACACGGACCCCTAATAGACTGCCCACATACTTACCCCCACTCGCACTGAAGAACAGCATCTCATGTCAGTCGCAACAATGGCCGGTACAAGGCGGTCATCATATCCCCCAGCCCAAGGCCCTACGCTTGACGCTCCCTCAATCAAGGTATCGCGGAGATGACCGAAGGCATTTTGCAGACACTGACAACAGATCCAGGACACTACAGCGTCTCCGAATGTTACACGCGAATCGCCGGATGCCCGCCGCACTCCCTCCCCGCAGCCTTCCGAGGACGGTCTCTTTACGAAAAGTTACTACGAGGGTCTCGCTGATCGCTGGGGAGTTACGGTAGCCGAGTTCGATTATCGGAAAGACAGACCACGGTTTTGGCTGCGCAATTCAGATCGCGCTGGCCTTGACCACGATGAAGAGTCACTCTCGCCATGGGCGCTGGCGTACTACGATCGATACCCCGACGAGATGGACGACGAACGGACGCGCGACCATTACGAGCGTGGTACAGGAAAGCCGAGGGTGAAGAGGTTCGAGGACATCAAGGAAGTGACGCCCCTTGTGAGAGGCAATGACGGAAACTTCAAGCCGGCTAGCAGCTGGCAAGAGGTCCCTGACGAGCCGACTGCTGACCTCGGTGGTCCATCACACTGGTATACCAAAGCACCAAGGGCGCGGAGTAATTGGCTCGAGACGCTCAGTCGAACACCCAACACCACAGGGCCACAACGTCCTCAGCCTCCTGCACTTCCCAATCGCAAGGTCCACCGTCTTCAGGCCCCGCATGACCACCAGGATCAACCTGTCGAGGATCTCTCAAGGAGCAGCTCTGAACCGAAAACCGGGGTTCCTGGGGTTGATGAGGGCTTCGCAGCGCCAACGGGCGCTGGAGACGCCGACTTCTCACTAGCTGCGGAGGATGCTTGGCCGATGGAAGTCGACGACGATGTCGCTGAAGGATTCGAGGAGCGCCTTGAAGATGTCGATGGAGACGATTTCGGATATCCCCTCGGAGATGAGCTGAAAGACGATGTTGAAGACGAAGACAGCGACGATCTTCAGATCGAACCTCAAGCGATTTTCGAAGACGACGATGAATACGGTGCTAAGGACGGTGTTCAGAACAGTGTTGAAGGCGATGTTGAAGATGGTATCGAAGACACACCCCAAGCCAACCCCGAAGGTCATCCTCTCGATAATCTCGAAGACACCTCCATCCTGAGCGACATTTCAGCCCCCGACGAAGACCTCGCACTGCAGATGTATCGCGAAGACCTTGAGAATTTCCACTCGCATCTGATCAAGCTGTCAAGAGACAGTCTTTGGCGGTCTTTCTCTTTCGACACCAGAGAAGAATACGAGACAGCGCTTCCACTTTACAACAAAGGGCTACCGAAACTTGGCAACAAAGAAGCTGAGGTGGTGAGTCTAAAGGATGCGATGAAGGCACGAAGGGACTATGACCAGTATCTCCGCGAGCATATGCCGAAGCCTGCAGACAGGAAGAAGGAGCCTGAGCCGTCGACGGTACGTAGACAGCCGAGGCGGTCCACCAGGAACAAGTAGGAGGAAGTCTTGTTGGCCTAGAGGACATATAGAGTATGTTGCACAATGTCGGGAGCTAGGACGAGGATTGAGTTCTTGGTCGCATTGTTCCCAGTGCCATGTTGGCAGAAGTGCGAGATGGGGCGTTGAAGTTTGTATTGGGAAGGATGATGTACAGGTGCTGCACGCTTGTTGCTTGACACCAGATAGTTTGTTAGCATCTTCTAGTAGAAACCAACAAGCAGGCGATCGTATTTGATATGAGCGTCTCCCAGTCTGTTCCGTCATCTCCTTCCTTGATTAAAGTGATGAGTGCATGGTAGGCCCCGACGCGAGGATGCCGTCGACGTCTCTCGTAGGTCTGGCGCCGCGTAGAGGTCTCGAAAAAACCGCTCCGGGGCTGACTCGGTGGACTTGGATCACCAGAGCTCAGGGAATCCGGCCTGACTTGAGATGACCGACGCGTTTGAGACTCGCGTATATATTCACTTTTCATTACCCCACATTGAGGCTTCGCTCAACCACGACGCTGGATCACCGCATCACTTTCTCCAATCTTCTTCAGTGTCCTTCAACCCTATATCCCGACGACATCTTCGTTGCGCTATTGCCTGCAGCAAATACGCGATGCGTCCTCAAGATACCAAGAACGAAGACATCCCGCCGCGTGCTTCGCGCGTGCCTTCAAGCAGCAGACACGAGCCCGAAGACATGCTTGAAGAGAGCCGCGAGGCGACCAGCGGGTACGGAGGCGACGAAGAAAGCGAGAGCGACATGACCACCGCTCCAGAACCTGTACTCAGGTATCGCCGACGAGTGGACGATCCACAAACGCCGCTCCGAGCACCTCGAGTGCAAACACCTTCTCGTCCACAAGATCCGCAAACACCACCACGCGGTACATCTCGAGGCCTCGAAGGCGACTTGGCTCGGGCCGGCGAAGTCTTGCGAGATCAGACCAGGAACGAGTACCACAGGCGCCGCTCCGACGCTCAAGACGACCATGCGGCGCACAGGAATGCAGAGACATCATCCGCGGTCGCTCGGGCTCAAGCTGGAGTTGGCAATAGGTTTGGAGCTGGTGGCCAAATTCCGCCTCGAGGTGTATTCACACCAGTGCTGCGTAGAAACGCTGTTCAGCAGCTGGGCATTCCCCCATCAAACCCTTTCGGTTACGGTGTCGGCTCCTTTCCGCAGCTGCCTCCTGAGACGATGCAGACGATTGGTGACAACTCTGATTCTGGCGAATTTGGGTCTTCGATGGCGGCCATGACTCCCTTCCACCGACAAGCGAATCAGGCAGCTTTCGAGCGCCAGGCTGCGCGCCAGGAGGCTTCGCCTGAGCCGGATCTTCCTCATCCTCGCCGAAGGCCTACTGGCCCACATCCTGCGCATTTCCAGACCCCAACCCGGCCTTCTCCTCATCAGCAGCCAGGTCAACAGTCTACAAGATCGCCCGCGCAACCGTCGTCAAAGTCACAGGGCCCGGAAGGATCGGCAAGGGCCCCTTCGCGGCGAAGGCTGGAGGACATCGAAGACCAAGACGCAGAGAACATGAAGTAGTGCAGACAGCCTGGAGAGGATGGAGAGCCAATAGTCGCGTAGCTTGTTCACGAACTGTAAGGGCGGTGCGGACAACGGATTGGGATGTTGTTGACGCTGAAGCTTGGCTTCAGGTAGGGAAGACATTGTACACCCCCACGAAGCAATAACAGCACCAGAAATCTATATGGCAGACAGAGTGACTTCGGTAACATATATGGTATGTGAGGTCTCATGTGTAGTCGGCTACGCGCACCTTCGATGCTTGAAGATGTCGCATTGTACTGTGATGTGACTCTCAACGTGATTGGATGTTGACGACATTGCTGTGAGCCGATAGAAGTATGCCAGGACCTATGGATCCAGAAGTCTGCTAACGTCAGTCCCTCTGATCGTACACCAAGCATTGGACTCGTTTGATGTGGCAAATGTCGTGACCCTCCGCCCCTGACGACACTCCGGGGAGCACTGACCTTGTTTGACAATCCCGAAATTCTGAGCGCGTACGTGCCTTGCCCTCGGTAGGACTGACCATCAACGCGATCATCTGAGGACCCCTCGACATTGCATAGGCAACCCTTACTGCCTCTGCCCGGTGGTCGACATCCATGGCGGACCACCAAAGAACTCGCATCGCGAATACGACCGCTCTATCGCAACACGAGCCTTGAGTTCACTGTCGTATCGCATTCCACGTTCCTTGAGCTTCGTAGCCCACCGAGAACGTGAGCTGCAGCCGCGCGAGCCTGCCGCACCGAACAAACCTCATTCGCACCACAGCGCAGCGGCTGACTCGACATCGTCGTCAAGTCATCGAATGCCACACGTATGCGTAGTAATGGACACGCGATGAAGATGAGGCTGGAAGATGAACAAAGACGCGCAGAGGGATGGTGACGTTGGCGCGACCGCCGAGCCCGAGCCATCTCCGCAAGCATCCTCGGCGGCCAGCGGGGCCGCTTCCTTCGCCAGACCACGCCTCCTTCTTCGACATCTCCTCACCCCTGGACCGACTACGCGACACGCATCAACAGAGATACATGGAAGTGATGCGCGTGAAACGCTGTCCTCTCTGGCGACTTCATACAGCGAGCTGACGGTGATTGCTTCCACAGCGAACTAGCGACGCGCTCGCGCATGCGCACGGCACTAGTCTTCGCTGAGCCATACATGACTCTAACCATAGCAATGTCGTCTTCCCAGCGTTTTCATATCACGGCAGCAGATCAGGCCTTCCGGATAGGGCATGGTTGACGATTAGCTTCTCGCGTCCTTGAGACGCGTCACATACCCATCATCATTCCTGTGGCCTCGCAAATTCTAACAGCAATTCTCGGCAAACGCTGCAGTACCAGGCAAGCGCGCTACTGCCGAAACTCGTTTCTCAGGACGCCAGACCACAGTAACCTAGAAAGAGCTTGGATCTGGGGTTTCACAACTCCATGGGGTCAGTACCACTTCGGAAAGCTTCTCTGACGTCTTCGTAATCACGCCCGATGGACGAAGCACCGCATACTCGCACGTGGCTCGCCATCGCCAGAGACCCTTTGTCGTAAACCTGTTCCAAGGGGTGTGACTTGGAGATCTGTATTCTGTAAGACTTTGCCCCTTCTGGACGCCAACCTCGCTACGGAAGACCTTGACGCTCGCCTCATGAGCTTGGCTATGCATATACGCTGGCGGATCCACACTTAGAACGGCTTGGTTCGTCTATCGAATTGTATCACGAGTATGTAGAGGCTGCAATGCTGTCCTCTCGGACCTTCGAGACACTCCACTTCGCTGTCTCAAACGATGTTCTCTTGCACGGCAACATCAAATCTCAAGATCGCATGAAATGGATCGCCCAAGGGTAGATCTATTCAGCTCCCCGGAGGCGTCCACCAATGCGCACTCAATAGGAACTGATTACTTGGAGCTGGTGGGGTAGCTCACGATATCGACTGGCAAGCCTCCCGTAGACGATCATGGAGGTCAAGAACTCAGCTCACTAGGGTTGAGACGATGACGTCATCACAGTCCAGCTCACTTGGTCCTGGATAAACTTCGCTGTCGGTCGTTGTTCACGACGACGAGTGGTATCGATCAGAGACGGTTGCGACGTATGGCACATAACGGGTTTCGCCTGATTCACTCGGTTACCGCTACCAAATCGCGGAGAGCAAAGAGGCCATTGTCATGTCTTTCGAGGAAGACACCATGCAGCTTCAGAAAGCCTAACTGCATTGCGCATCGGCATGACCAACTCAGGCTTTTGGCGGCGCCCTCCTCTAAGCACTAGCTGAACGTTTCCCGGCGCCTGGAGACCCGTCGTCTCATGTGTCAGAGATGATCGATTTGCACTTGGCACGCGCATCTGGTCTACTATTCTCCCAGAATCCCAGCATGTTCCAGGATCTTATGAAGGCGCCCTAGCCCTCTTGTTCCGTAGGCTCTTGACCTTCAGCCTTGCTTGTTTGCAGGGGAATGAGGCCAGGCCTCTTGAGCGCGCCAGCGTGTCTGCACTCAATCGAAGAAGCGCCCCTTCGACGGGTATTCGGAAGCCCCAACGCGGGTTGCCCATAGACAATGTCGATGCGACGATGCTTCCCCGTGCATCCTTGGGGTTTGGTCTAGCATTCGATCCGCACATGGGCTACCGGGCAACGTGTTCAGCGGCAATGGGAGGCTCGCTGTACCGTCCTCGAACACAAAAAGCTCGCCCGTCTAGACCTCCTGTTTCGTCGAAGTCGTCGTGTTCGGGGGGTCCGCCGGACCGAGCAGGGCTGCCGTGATGCGGGAGTGGCTGATTGAGGTTGAGATCCCGAACACGTTGGATGAGCGAGTCGTCGATGCCGCAAGCGACTGTCGGGGCAGCTTGAAGGTCTCCTCAGCCTGGTCTCTGCTAGGGCGCCTCGTCAGTGGTGTGCATCCAGGGGGTCCGATGGGAGCTGTGTCCTCAACTTGTACAGCTCAACGACGAGCTGACATGCAGTTGCTGCGCCTGCGACATCCTTAAGACGACCGAAAGCTCCTGCCCTTGTTCGCCATCGGATGTGCGTGAGCTCGTCGACATCGGTCCTGTCGGGGCTTGCGGGGGTGGTGGTGCACTACCGGGTCTAGGAAGAGGCCAGCATGGTGATGCTTGGCCTTGTGATGGGCGTGCTTGAGCATACTGAAGGCATGTATGAGCATTACTAGAGGCTCCTCGTCGTCGGTATGAAGCCGCTGCTGTCTTGCGAGCGGTACTGGTGCTTCTTTTCGTTGACTTGAAAGTCAGTGAAGGGACAGAGGACGCTGAGGCTAAGCGAGAGCTCCGACTCCTCCTGCCTATATCAGCTCCCCCACCAACGCCAACGCCCGCTCTCTCGCTCTCTGAACGTCGCGATTGGAATTGATACCGCAAGGCTACACTTTCTCGCTTTCATATCTCCCCTGCACTCCGATACGATGGCCGCCGACGACAGCAACAAGGCCCAGACCAAGTGCGTCACTCCAGATATCAACAAGGAGTACGGCCACCCCGACGGTAACGCTGGCAGTGATGTACAAGTCAAGTACAACGGTCAGGCGGGTGACGGCGACGAGGGCAACGGCGAGCAATCCGATGATGTCGACATGGACAGCCACGGTAAGAACTCCGAGCACACTTGTCCATTGTTCAAGAGCTACAGATCTCTAACGCAGCAACTGCAGATACCGACTCATGCGGAGCGTACATCAAGAAGTCTAAGGAGCTCAAGAGCCAGATGCGAATGCATTTCAGCAACGGCAATATGGCGCAGTTTGATCGCGTCCAGCGGGAATTCCGCGAACATGACTTGCTTGGTGAAGTGGAGGCCGAATTGCTTGATCTGGACACTGCAGCAGCATTGATCGCTCTCAGCCGCAGCAGTACTGATTATCAACACGTTCATCGCCGCCACGCTGCCCAGGTCCTACCTCAGCCGTCTACCCAAGTTCTTCCTCAGCTGTCTGCTCAACCCTTCTACGCACACTTGTTCCCTTGGAATAATGCTGCCGGCGGCCGATTAACTTCTGGACCGACCAGTACCACTGCGACACATCAAGTGGCTTCTGCGACCCAACACGGTTCGACCGCGTTATCTGTCGCCGTACAACTTGCGGTTCCTGTCCCTCCGGCTCCTGTTCTTGCGGTTTCACAAGCCTCGCCGCCAACAACCCTCAACCTCCTTCCCACTCTGCCTCTGGACGCTTACTCCGACAACGATTCCTTGGGGAAAAGCGGTGGCGGGAAGGGCTTAGACGGCAAGAACGAGGCTCTCTATCGCACAGCACCACCCCCGAATCTGGACTACACACTGCTCGATTTCGAAATCACTCTTCTGGAGATGGCGGCGGTAAGCTTCCTTGTCCCCTGTTCATTATTCTAGTCTGCTCTTACTGATCTGTGACCATACAGTACACTCCACTAGCATACCTGTGGAGAGGTCCCCTCGCTCGTGTCTGCGCCTGCACAACCTGGATCGTCATGGCTAGGATGATAGTAAGGAAACTCACATCTTCAACAAGAAACAATACGCTGACTTGACTAGCTATGGGCTAGAGATCTTGACAATGACCCTGACCTGGGAAAGAAGGTCGAAAGCCTCCGCTGTACGATGCAACACCAGGGTGCAAAGCCTACCGATGCCGATCCTACCAGTGTCGATAAATCCGCTGCCTTCTGGGATCATGAAAAGAAGTTCTTCACCAAGGCCTCACCGACTTTGGAGGCAGATGTATCTCTACTTCGTCTTAGCCACGGTGTTGTGCGCCACCCTCAAGGTCAACATCGTGGTCGTCTCACCATCGCCATCGAACATGCAACGTTGCATGGTCATCAGGACGTCATGCTCAGCCAGGTGGAACAGTACATTCAGGCTTTCAATCTGAATGTACCTGGACCTCTCGCTGCGGGTGCCGACTTGGCAGCTGTCAACGACTTCCTGATCACGTGGGCGTTGCGGCATCCACCTACATAAGAGCCTCGTAGACTATGTGGGTATACCACAGGACGACTTACCGAAGACATGTATCTT